TATTTTTGTGTATGGGGTAAGGAAACAGTCCAGTTTCATTCTTCTGCATGTGGCTGTCCAATTTTCCCAACACCATTTGTTGAAGAGACTGTCTTTTTTCCATTGGATATTCTTTTCTGCTTTGTCGAAGATGAGTTGACCACAGAGTTTAGGGTCCATTTCTGAGTTCTCTCCTATGATAAATCTTATCTGTGTCACTTACAGTGGATCTCTTTTCTGACTGAACCCCAACTGACACAGGGAAGCAGTTCTAGTTAGGATTAATAAGCTAAGTTAAGGAGTGTGGTTTTATTCTAAATGTATTGAGAATCTTTTGGATAGTTTTAAGCAGAGTGCTCTATTGAGAATGAATTTTGAAGAGTCAGGGTATAAGCCAGCCGAGCAGTTCTATTGCAGCAGTCTAGGTGAGAAATGATGGTAACTCGGACTAGAAAGGCAGCAGTATAGTTGGAAAGAAGTGGAAGAATTCAATACATTTTGGACCTAGGTCCAGTGTGATTAGTTGATGAATTGAATGTAGATGATGAGGGGAAGAAAAGAATCAAGAATGACTCCTAGGGACTAGATCTTAATACCTCCTACTACAAAAAAGAAATGATAATCATGTGATGTGATAGAGGTGTTAGCACTATGGTGGAATCATATTGCAATATTTAAATGTACCAAATGAACACATTATGTGCCTTAAACTTGTACAATGGTATATGTCAATTATATCTCAAAAAAATCAGAAAAAAAGAATAACTGCTAGGTTTTTGGCTTGGGCAACTAGGTGGGTTCACCCTAAAAGGCTGAAGAGAAAGAAATCAACAGTTCCCTTTTGAAATTATTAAATTTGAGAATCATATTTGACATCCAGGTAGTCAGTAAGACAAGAATCTGGATCTCAAGAGAGAGTTCAATACTAAGGATATGAATTTGGAAATTACTAGCATTGAGGTGATATATAAAACCTAGAAATTGGATGTAATCATCCAGGGAAAAAGTGAACCAGCATTATTATTCAGTTATGGCACAATAATTGAGTAGAGGGTATGATCTTACATTTTTTTGGTTGTCCACTGTGTACTCCCGAGTAACTTGGTGATTGTGTAATATAATGACACATACATTATAATTTTCTGGCTCCCAGATTGGGAATTGAATGATATAATGTAATGATAATGGTAACTCTAATCAGAATGACCCTTATTAATATGCATTAACTTTATAACAGGGAAAATTGTCACACCATTGATGTAATTCACTATTCTTTGTCTTATTAGAAGGATGTGGAATGACTTGTATGTCTAGAAGTATATCAAATATCAAAATTATATCAGCCAGGAACTACTAGGCAGAATTTCTAGTTCTTTTCCTTGGAATAAAGACAATATGTGCTTATCTGAAAAACTGTCTTAAAGTAGATTTTCCCCCTTTTTAAAATCAGCTTATTTTCTTTTATTGTCCATAGGGGCAACTAATTCAATTCATAACAGATGTTATTCTTGGGTGAAGGGGAAAACCGCTCTTTTCAGTTCTTCACTAAGATGATCAAAATGCAGCACCACCTGAAACTGGTCCTTAGCTTCTTGTATACAGTGGTAGAGACTTAGGTAGGAGAAGTATAAATGTAATTACTGGGGACCAGAACCTGACTTTCCAGTTTGGCATTGATATGATGATGCATCATCAATGAGATAAAACATGAGACTTTGGAGTCAGAGTTGGGGGTTCAAAGTTTGTGTCCATCCCTATCTGGATATGTGACCTTAAAGGTGACTTAATTATTCCATTTGAGTCCCAGTTTCTTCGCTAAAATGAGAACAATAGTAACTTCTGTACATACTATGAGTGTTAAGTAAGATAACACAGTGCCTAGTACAACCTGGACAAATGCTTAATGTCTACTGGCTGTTATTTATAGTTCAAATTTAGTTGGTTACATCTGTTCTAGTTAAGTCTGCCATCCCCCATAAGCCCCTAAATTCCACAGTCCTTCTCTCTCTTTCTCCTCCTCCTCCTTTTTTAAAACTACTTTATTGAGGTATGATTGACATACAAATTGCTGTATATATTTATCATATCAATCTGATGAGTTTGGAGGTAAGCATACATCTACAAATCATCACAATCCATGTCAAAAATACATCTATCACCTCCAAAAGTTTCTTACCATCCTCTTTCAGCATTCTCTTAGCAAATTTTTAAGGATGAAATATAGTATGGTTAACTATAGGCACTATGCTGTGCAGCAGACCTCTGGTCTGTTTTATCTTGTATAACTGAAACTTTGTGCCCCTTGACTGGTATCTCCCTGTCTCCCCCTTCCTCCACCCCCTGGCAAGCACCGTTCAACATTCTGCTTTTCTTGAGTTTGACCATTTTAGATTTCTCGTATATCTTACTTTTAAAATGGAAGTATGTGTCAGTTATCTATTTGGTGCCTCAAGTTTTAAATCTACCCTTCATTGCTCTGCTCGTGATATGGAGCATTTTTCCCTTGCCAGCCTGCACAATATTAAGTTTTGTTGCTGGAGGGTGCTGGAAGGATATGGGGGAGGAATGGGCTTTTCTTCTGGTTCTTAGTGTGCTCTTCTTAAATTCCTCTACAGCTGGGAACAACAGGGCAGTGGGCCAGGGCTTACCTCCCCATGACCAGAATTCCTCAGCATCCCAAAAGATAGCTTCCCATTGGGCCATCCCTGTGGGCAGTTTTCCAGTGAGCTGTGTAGCATGGAACTTCTCTGTGGGCAGCCTTGCCCACTTCTTAAGAGGGTAGCTTCTCAGCTCACCACCTCTGCAGGAGGATTTGCAGTGAGTCCTGAGGTGCAGCACCTCCTGGTGAAGTCTTCCTCCAGTGACTTTAACCAACATGGCACTGAGTGAGCACCATTCAGGGGCTACTGTTGCACCCTCTCCAACAAAGTTGGATCTCAGCTCTGAGGGTCTCTTCTGTATTTCTTTCATCCTTAGGTGTTGTGCCTTAGCCCTAGAGCTAATGGTTCCTGCCTTTGTCTTTTATTTATTTACTCTTTAGAGTTCTCTTTACCCATTAGTAGGTAATCTCTTGTTATAGTTAATAAGTCTTTATATTAAGCTTTCCCTGTTCAAATTATTGTGTGGTTCCTGTCTCCTGACTGAAAACTGACAGATAAAAGATATAACTTACATGCAATGAAGTGCTCAGATTTTTTTTTTTTTAGAGAGGGAGGAGGGAGAGAGAGAGAGAGAGCGAGCGAGAGAGGTGGGGGGAGGGGCAGAGGGTGAAGGAGGGAGAGAGAATCCCAAGCAGCCCCATGCCCAGCGAAGATCCTGATGCGGGGCTTAATCTCAATACCCTGAGATAATGACCTGAGCCGAAATCAAGAGTCAGAAATTTAACTGACATGGTTTTCTGGAAATCTCAGTGGGAAAGAACATTGGTCAACATCTTGATAGCAGCTCCATGAGAGACCCTGAAACAGAGAACTCAGGTAAACCATGGCCAGATTCCAGACCTGCAAAAATTGTAGTGTAACAAATGTATGTTATTTTAACTGACTGAGTGCCACCCAGGCACTCCAAAATTGCTCAGATCTTAAGTGTAAGTTCACTGTAATTTTGGCAATTACACAAAGATACAAATATTTCCATCTCCCTAGAAAATTCTGTTGTGTTTATCCATTCTCCTGTTATTTCTGAATTTTGGCTATTATGCATAACACTGCCATGAAGCATCTTGTACAAATTTTTTTGTGAACATGTGATTTCCTTTTCCTTGGATAAACACCTAGGAATAGAACTGCTGGATCATAACGTTGGTATATGTTTAACTTTTTATGAATTTTTCCTTCCATAAGTAATGTATAAGAATCCTGGTTGCTCTATGTCCTCTTCAAAAACATTTGGTATTTTTACAGCCCTCTTCAATATTTGGTATTTTTATAGGAAGGCCTGAAAGGCTCAGAGGTTATGAAAGCTGTCCTTGGCTGGCTTGCTTTCACATTTATTCTTCGTTCTTTCTCATTCCTTCTGATCATTCCATAGTTCACTCCTCGGGAATGATTACCTGCTTAAATTCCAGTATTTCATAACTTTCCCTTCTTCTATGCACCCAAGCACTTTATTTTTGGATCCATCTGTTATAACTTTTATTGCATTCTATGTTGTTATAGTGATTTGTGAATAGGTTTCTTCCTCTCTTCTGCTACAGTGTGAATTCTCTGAGAGCATGAACTATATATGGCTTATTCATCTTAATTTGCTCCAATGCATGATATGGTGCATTGCAGACAGTAAATGTTTAATTGATGTTTGTTGAATTAATATCTATTCATATGTTCAAAACAGTAAATATTTTCAGATCCTTAGTGACCATCTCCCTAGACAGCTGGATGTTTTCTGTTTTGAGTCTAATTCTGATATTCCTAATTAGCAGATTGGGAAGCTCTCATGAGCTCTTCGGGGTGCTTGCCACCACTGAATTCTTTTTTTTGCTATCTTTTTCCTCAGCCATGGTTTTCTGGAAATCCCAGTGGGAAGGAACATTGGTCAACATCTTGATAGCAGCTCCATGAGAGACCCTAAAACAGAGAACTCAGGTAAACCATGGCCAGATTCCTGACCTGCAAAAATTGTAGTGTAACAAATGTATGTTATTTTAAACTGCTAAATTTATGGTAAGCTTGTTACTCAGCAATAGATGACTAATATAATCTATAACTATCTCTGTTCCATTCTTTTAGGTTAGGTTAGTTGAATGACCCAGGAGTATCAGCTATGTCACAGTACCAAGCTCTTGCTTGGAGCTCAAGCTTGACTCTGCCAACATAATCTGGGGGTATATTGTTGAGTAGCACAGGGTGTTTGGAAGTAATCTAATAAGCTAATTTATTAGATTTTATATCCAGAATTTATATTCAGAGTTCCCCACCTCCTTTGACAAATATTTATTGAGCACTGAATATCTCGGAACATGAAGGGACAAAGCTAGATTAACTCCATCTAGATAGATAGTGTTGCTATCTACAACCAGACACAGTTTCACACACTGGGGTAAGACAGGATTGGAAAAAGAAACCAACTTGATTGGATGGGAGAAAACTAATAGAATTGACAGTGAGAATGGAGAAAAGGGATGAATGTGGTAGGTATTTGGGGAAGTATAAGAGGCCAGATTTGGTAACTGCTTGGATTGGAGGCAGGAAGAAGAGAGACCTCAACAAGGGACTTTGTGTTATGTTGCCAGGTTGTCTGGGAGGACAGAGGTCTTTTACAGAAACATAAAAGTCCAAAGAAAAAGTAGCTTGGAAGGGATAGGGAGAAAATAACTATGTGCTGAAATGTTAGTTTTGAGAAACTGGCAGAATATATCCAAGTGCAGATACTCCCCTATAAAGGCTGTAGGGAGATAAAAACTTTTTTTTTAAAGATTTATTTATGTATTTATTTGAGGGAGTGAGAGAGAGAGAGAGTACATGAGAGGGGGGAGGGTTAGAGGGAGAAGCAGGCTCCTCGCTGAGCAGGGATCCCGATGCGTGGCTCGATCCAGGGACTCCAGGATCATGACCTGAGCCGAAGGCAGTCGCTTAACCAACTGAGCCACCCAGGTGCCCTGGGAAATAAAAACTTTTTAAAAAAGAATTTTTAAAAATTGAGATAAAATTGACATATATTAGTTTCAGGTGTATAACACAATGATTCAATATTTGTATACAACTCACCCTTGAACAATGTGAGGGTTAGGGATGCTGACACCCCTGTGCAGTCAAAAATCTGTGTATAATTTTGATTCCCCAAAACTTAACTATTAATAGCCTACTGTTGATTGGAAGTCTTGTAACATATTTTGTATGTTATATATATTATATGTACTGTATTCTTATAATAAAGTAAGCTAGAGAAAATAAAATGTTATTAAGAAAATTGTAAGGAAAAGAAAATATATTTACAATACTGTACTATATTTATTAAAGAAATACTGTGTATAAGTGGACCTGTGCAGTTCACACTTGCGTTGTTCAAGGGTCAGCTGTAGATTGAAAATGATCACAGTTAAATCTAGTTAATATCTGTCACCTTACATAGTTATAATTTTTTTCTTGTGATGAAGGCTTTTTTTTTTTTAAGATTTTATTTATTTACTTGAAAGAAAGCGACACAGTGAGAGAGGGAACACAAGCAGGGGGAGTGGGAGAGGGAGAAGCAGGCTTCCCGCCGAGCAGAGAGCCCTATGCTGGGCTTGATCCCAGGACCCTGGGATCATGACCTGAGCCGAAGGCAGACGCTTAACTACTGAGCCATCCAGGCGCCCCGTGATGAGCACTTTTAAAAAAAGATTTATTTATTTATTTGAGAGAGAGAGAAAGTGGGGGGGGAGGGGCATAGGGAGAGAATCTTTAAGCAGACTCCCTACTGAGCGCAGAGCCCAATGTGGGGCTCAATCCCATGACCCATGGGATCATGACCTGAGCCAAAACCAAGAGTCAGATGCTTAAGTGACTGAGCCACCCAGGCACTCCGTGATGAGAACTTCTGAGATCTATTTACTCTCTGCAACTGTTGAATATACAATACAGTATTATTATATCCCCATGACTTATTTTTTTATAACTGGAAGTTTGTACCTTTTGATCACCTTCCTCTCTTTTGCCCAGCACCTACACTCCCACCAATCTGTTCTCTGTATTTATAAGCTAATTTCTTTCTTTATTTTCTCTCTCTCTCTCTTTCTTTCTTTCTTATTCCACATATAAGTAATATCATATAGCATTTGTCTTTCTCTATCTGACTTAATTTCATTTAACTAATGCCTCAAGGTCCATCCCTTTTGTTGCAAGAATTTCCTTCTTCTTCATGGCTAAATAATATGACATTGTATATATACTGTGTATATATATATATATATATGTATATACACCACATTTTCTTTATCTATATCTTTCTTGGCTATTGTAAATAATTGCTGCAATGAACATGGGGTACATATATCTTTTTGAATTAGTGTTTTCATTTTCTTCAAATAAATACCCAGAAGTAGAATTGCTGGAACATATGGTAGTTCTCGTTTTAATTTTTTTGAGGAACCTCAATAGTATTTTCCATAATGGAAATTTACATTCCAACCAATGGTGCACAAGGGTCCCCTTTTTTCACATTCTCACTAACACTTGTTATTTTAATCTTTTTGACAACAGCCATTCTAACAGGTATGAATGATATATCATTGTGGTTTTGATTTGGGGAAATGAGAACTTTCAAACATTGCAAGGGTATTTATTAGTTGGTATTACCTTTTATAAGTATAGTTTTGCAATATTAATTAAGATTTTTAAATATTGTCTCATCTGAAATTCTACTAGAATTTAATTCTATAAAAATAATAAGATATTAAAAATATGTAATTATCTATTTCTATTTATATCAATGAAAAATTGGAAACCACCTAAACATTCAACAGTAGGGGAATTATTAAATTTGTCCATTTGGACAAATTCCTAGAAACATACAAACTACCCAAACTGAAGCAGGAAGAAATAGAAAATTTGAACAGACCCGTAACTAGGAAAGAAATTGAATCAGTAATCAAAAATCTCCCGACAAACAAAAAGTCCAGGGCTGGATGGCTTCCCAGGAGAATTATACTAGACATTTAAAGAAGAGCTAATACCCATCCTTCTCAAACTGAAAGAAAACTCAATCTACGAGGCCACAGTACCTTGATTCCAAAACCAGACAAAGATCCCACTAAAAAGGAGAATTACAAGCCAATATCCCTGATGAACATGGATGCAAAGATTCTCAACAAGATACCAGCAAATTGAATTCAACAAGACATTAAAAGAATTATTCACCTGGATCAAGTGGGATTTATTCCTGGGCTGCAGGTGGTTCAATATTCTCAAATCAATCAACGTGATATACTGCATTGATAAAAGAAAGGATAGGAACCATATGATCCTCTCGATAGATGCAGAAAAAGCATTTGACAAAATATAGCATTCTTTCTTGATAAAAACCTTGATAAAAACCAATAGATGGAACATACCTCAACATCATAAAGGCCATATATAAAAGATCCACAGCTAATATCATTCTCAATGGGGAAAAACTGAGAACTTTTCCTCCACAGTTAGAAGTAAGACAGGGATGTCCACTCTCACCATTGTTATTTAATATAGTACAGGAGGTCTTAGCCTCAGCAATCAGACAACAAAAAAGAAATAAAAGGCATCCAAATCGTAAGGATTATGTTGTTTTTATTTTTTCTTTATCCTTTTTGGTGTTTTCTAAATTTTCTGTATTAATGTTAGGGCATGTTTCTTTTATGATCAGAAAACATTATAATAAAAATCTTACTAGTGGCTGGATTTTGGTTTATCAGATATGTATTTGAATTTACATTTCTGTAATTATCAAAATCAATATCAAAGCAGTAACTTACCCTATGTATAAACTGTGTAATCCTTATCCTTCTATAATCCTTATTGCACTCCTACATGTTAGTTAAAATAATTTGGTGTTATAGGTTTATCTTATTATTATTATTTTTTAAAGATTTATTTATTTTAGAGAGAGAGAGAGATACAGAGAGAGCATGAGCAGGGGGTGCGGCTGAGGGAGAGGGAATCCTCAGACTCCCCGCTGAGCACAGAGCCCAACACAGGGCTCTATCCCAGGACCTTGAGATCATAACCTGAGCTGAAATCAGGAGTCAGCTGTTTAACCAACTGAGCCACCCAGGTGCCCCAGGTTTAGCTTATTATTTTACATTTTTATATTATTATCTACTTTAATTTACAGGAAAGTTTTAGCATTGAATTTTGTAAACATGTTTAAAAACATTTTTTCCTACTTAATTCTGTGTATTTTATTGGTTTTCCTGATAACCAGAATTTCAAAAAAAAGAGTAGAATGGTAATTGTGCAGGGCTGGGATGTCGGAAAATTAGGGAGATGTTGGTCAAAGGGCAGACTTGCAATTAGAAGATGAGTAAGTTCTGGAGATCTAATGCACGGCATTGTGATTATAGTCAACAATACTGTATTATACACTTCAAGGTTGCTAAGAGATTACATCTTAAATGTTTTTGCCACAAAATAGAAATGATAATTATGTGACAAGATGGAGATGTTACCTGAGACTATGGTGGCAGTCATATTGCAATACATAAATAGATCAAATCAATATGCCTTAATATTACAAAATGTTATATATCAATTACATTTTAGTTATATAAAAGAATTTTTATATTATAGCTTTCTATTTCTTATAGATATATGCATAGGATACACAAATAAAATTGTGGTGGTTTTGAATATTTCCACAAGTTAGTTGATATTCTTCAAGAGGAAGACACTTTCCTTTGAGTGTGAGCTTTCTGAACTTTCTGATGTGCTTCTAATGAATAGAAAACAGAAGTAGCAATGTGGGACTTTGGAGACGAGGTCATGAAAGGCACTGTGACTTCTTTCTTTCTTTCTCTTGATTTGCTCACTCTGGATGAAGTTAACTGACATGTCAGGAGCAGAAGCCCATGTGTGTGG